TTTTTTGCATGATCTTAAAGAAAACTTTGATACATTTTTTGGAGATGAATTGCTTATAGCACTAGAAACCCTAAATAGTGATTAATTTGGTGAGCTTTTTGATAGTTTAGAACGAGGAATAAATAAGGTATATGAATATTTTGTAAAATAGATTTCTTCATAGACATATTTGCCACTATCAATCTGCCGCTTGGGTGGAAATTCCAGTCGTGAGTTTGCAAGAGCATTTTACTATGTTGTTTTAGAGCCTCAGTGGTTCTTTGAGCTAACAGAATGTGAAATGAAATTAGTAAAACAATTACGTGAAGATTTTGAAACGTCTGATAATACATTCGGCCTTCGAGAAGAATTATTAGATTGCTTAGAATTCAGAGACAAGTTTCAAAAATTCTGTTTCATTCCAAACTCTGAAATTTATGAATATCCGCTATTGTATAAATTTGTTAAAAAGCGGATTTACTCCATTATAATTCATCAACAACAAGTAGAAAGGCTCTTTAATAAACTAGATTTAAAGACTCACCCAAATATGATACTTGACTTGAAACAATCGAAATTACGACTTTCATCTGGAAATATAAGTGAAAAAAACATTGCCTTGGGTCTTTCGGATATTTGTAATAAACGTAAAAACCGGTCGCAAACAAATCCTATAGAAAATATAAAAAATCATGGAGAAGAAGAAGCAAATAAAATGTTTTTAAACTTATTTCAAAGTTAATAAGGATCTTTAAATAAAATAAAAATAAAAATGTATATATGATTTATTATGAAATAAAAAATCGATCATCTCAAAAAAAAAAAAAAATTGATATATCTATTTAATATATGACCATACATAAATTTGATTTACATAGTGCATTTAACACCCCAATGTCCCATTATTGTTCGCATGTGAAGAATTATGTAACAACTCATATAAAAGTGACTAAATTTATGGTGATGCAAATGGCTTGAGCCGAACGCAAATCAAAAGGTTAACTCAGCTACAAAGTCTAACAATAAAGTATCAGCTTTAGGATGACTTGGACGCAGCCAGGGTGGCCCCCCCTAAGTGCAGGTCACGGGTTATCACCGCCACATTTAAATGTTATATAATGTTGGGGATGATGCTGAAATCGGATGATGCTGAAATTTTGACTTATTTTATTATGAAAATGTAAAATTTTTTTG